AAGTCACTGGGCTGACTCTGGGCCAAGGCTGTGTTTAAACTGGAACTGGAAAGAAAAAGAAAAGGCTTTTTTTTTACAGATTCTGATATTTTGTGTGAACCAGCACATCGAGCCAGGACGTGAGAGATGGGAATTCTCTTGCTGCTCTGATGGAGAATTTGGGAGCAGCTCCCTTTTCACCTGGCTGTGACCCCATTTCCCCATCTGTAAAGCTGGAGACAACAACAGAAACCTCCTCACCTCACCACCTTGATGGTGCTTCTGGGTGAAAAAGGCTACATAAGACTTAAAAGATGTAAAACTTTTTTTAAAAAATTGGTTTTCTCTCCTGTTTTCAGTTGATTTCAAGAATCCCAGACTGGTTTGGATTGGGAGGGACCTTAAAGTTTATCCAGTTCCACCCTCTGCCTTGGGCAGGGACACCTTCCACTAGCCCAGGCTGCTCCAACCCCAAATCCAACCTGGCCTTGGACACTTCCAGGGATGGGGCAGCCACAGCTTCTCTGGGCAACCTGGGCCAGGGCCTCCCCACCCTCCTAGGGAAGGATTTCTTCCTAATATCCCATTTAAACCTGCTCTCTGAAGTTCATATGAAGCTTGGGAGCCTCATTCTCCATCTGTGAAAGCACTTTGCCCTTTCCAGAAGCGACACTTTGGGATATTACAGTGATGGGGACTGTGCAGCATCCCAGAGAATTGACTGGTTTCAATGTCATTGGAGTGTGGGAATACTTTGTGACCAGAGCAGGTCATCACTGACTCCACAGATTGAACTTGGGATGGCTTTTCTCAGCAAATTTGGGTGTTCTGCCCTTAACCCTCCTTGTGCAAGGTCTGTGTGTCTCTGATGAAGAGCCCAACAAGGGTTATTTAGTGCCCAGGGAAAATGTGCTGGGTGAGGCAGGGCTTGCCCTGTGCTCCTTGTACAGGCTTTGGATAGTTTGGATTTTATTCTTGGTAATTTCTGTGCTCACCTAAACATAAGAATAGAAATAAATCAACCATAAATAGTGCCTCTAATTAACAGAAGTAGTGAGGAGTGAGTTGTGAAAAATCAGAGGGAGGGTAAAGAGAGTTCATCTCTTGAAGGCAGCTGAGAGCTTCCCTCGATGCAAAAGCACTTATCTAAAGGAATATTACCCTTTAATTGCCCCAAATAAGTCAGGCTCTGCCTTTGATTAGATTCAAGTGAGTAAACTCTAGGTGTACCATACATTTTGATTAAAAACATAGTAAGGAGATAATGGTCTGTGGTGTTTCAGCTTTGGCTGTATCTGTCAAATTATACCTCTGCTTTATTGATCCCCACTCTGCAAACATTTATGTTTAGCCCCTTAATTGTTTGTCTTGCACATTAAAGGACAATGTAAAGTGGTGGTAGAATTTCTTATTGGGAGACCTGGGGAAATATCTACTCCTGTTAAAGGCGGCTGAAAGAAAAAGCAGGTGAAAGCAGCAGAATGGCTCCCTGTTCAGAGGCCCAGGGAGTTGGTTCGTTTCTCTGTTGGTAATAAAATGGAGTAACTCTGGGTCTCAAAGGGTTCCTGAGAGCCCAAAGCAACATCTTTGCACAGCCAGGGAAGCCCAGTTGGGGATCTGCCTGCAGGACCAGCCTGGATCCTGTGGGATTTGTCACTCAGGTTGGTGCTGCCTCATGGTAGGATGGTCTGTGACTTCACTTTTTTTGTAAATGCGGCCCTTAAATTCTCACTGGAAGCTCCAAAGTCAAAGCAAAAGCTCCCACAAAGGTTTGAGTCATGAAAGCGTCTCACAGTAGCATATACTATGTACTCTACACTGTGATTGGGTTCAAGAACTTTTGGGAGCATTGGGAAAGATGTTTCACATCCATGAAGGCTCTGCTGTCTCAGGAGAAGTTTTTGCTGACACTTTTACCTGGTGTTTGTCACGGTCTCCAAGGTCTGGCTTGTCCTGGATCCTTGTAAGCAAGGCAGAGCAAGCACAGCAAGTCCCTGCCCTGCCCTGAACACGAGGGAACCCAGCAGAGGCTCAGAGAAGGCTGGTTAATTAGCTGTATTTCAGCACATTTCATTTTTAGGGGCTTTGATGGCAGCACGGAATTGTGGATCTGTCGCCAAGTTTGGGCCTCAAATGAATAAATAAATAAATGATAAATGATCCTTTGGCAGCGAGGGACCTGCTGCACTCCCTGTGCATGTTTATGTGGTTTCCCTTCTCCCATCTGTTCCTTCCTCCAGCTCCTCCTCTCGGGCTGGCTCTGCACCCCTCTTGTGTGGCTGACAGCAATTCCAGGCCTCAGAGAACCATGGAATATCCTGGAAGGGACCCACCAGGATCATTGAATCCTCACTGAGTGGGTTCCACTTGCTCCAACCATTGACAGGATGGGAACTGAAGAACAGCCTCCAAATATAAAACCTGGCTTTGCTCTGGTAATCCCAGGACAGCAGTCCCAGACGCTTCCCCATGTCCCCTTTTTCTCTGTGCAGGAAATCCCTGGAATTTACTTCATCCCCCTCCTCATCATTGGCTCTTTCTTCCCTCCTGTGTTGGGGAAACAGGATGAGGATGAGTGTCCTTGTTTCCTCCAAACCCACCTGTGGAGATGCAGGGCAGGAGAAGAGGGAAAGGAAAGAGCTGGAAACAGAGAGAGAGGAATGGAAAAACAAAACAGGGAATGAAGAATTGGCACTGCTGGGGTGGGATAGAGCAGGACTTGATGATCCTTGGGGGTCCCTTCCAATTCAGGATATTCTGGGGCTCACCTCAAAAGGCAGAGGAAGACAGGGACTGCAAAAGGCTTCCACAACCATAATGGGAGATCGGGCTGCTCAGAGCTTTCCCTGGGGTCCCACTCCCATTTTCCCTGTGTTCCCTACACCCATTTTTTCGTGTTCCTACTCTTTTTCCTTTTCTTTCCTTTTTCCTTTTGGGTTTTTACTTTCCTTTTTACTTTTCCTTTTTTTTTTTTTGTGTTTTTTTTTTTTCCCCCTTTTTTTTTTCTTCCCCCCCCCCCTTTTCCCTTTTCTTTTTCTTTTTCCTTTTGGGTTTTTACTTTCCTTTTTACTTTTTCCTTTGAGTTTTTATTTTCCTTTTTCCTTTTCCTTTCTTTGGGTCTTTCCTTTTTATCTCTTTTTCCCCCCTTTATTTCCTTTCCCCCTTTTTTCTTTTTATCCCCTTTTTCCCTTTTTTTCCCTTTCCCCCCTTTTTTCCCTTTCCCCCCTTTTTTCCCTTTCCCCCTTTACTTTCCTTTTTCCTTTCCCTTTTGGGTTTTTACTTCCCTTTTCCCTTTTCCTTTTCCTTTCTTCGGGCCATTCCTTTCCTTTCTGCTTGTGTTTTATTCCCTTCCTTTACACCAGATCCTCCAGTTGCCGCATTCTTCACTCTCAAGAGAGGAATTTGCATTTTCCTGAGCGCTCACTAAATGCCCACGTGGCATTTTCCTTCTCAGCAGTTCCCTGAAGAGCTCCCTGGTGGTCGATGAATGCGGGAACTTTGTCACACCCTAAAACCCCCTCCCCTCCTCTCCCCTCCCCTCCCTCCTCCCCGGTGCTTTCTCAGGGAGTGAGGATGGAGTTTGGCGACAGGGAAGTGCTGAGTGAGCAGGTTTGGAGCTGCAATCCCTGGGAAGACGCCTGGTTTTCTTGCAGACTCCTTGTCTGTGTGTGCCCATTCTGGGCACGGTGCCACCCTGACCCTAATTGCAGCCCAGCCGAAGGGAGGGCCGTGGTTCCCTCCCGGGGCCGCCTCAGTTCACCTGGAAACGGGATGGGAAGGGTTGAGGTGGGGAGAGAAGAGGCTGCTGGAAAAGCCTGCCCAGAGTCAGGTCACCTAAAAATGCCTCTTGGTCCTGCCGTGGGGTCAGCCTGGAGCTCTGGAACTCACAGAACCGTGGAATTACTTAGGGTGGAAAAGGCCTTTAAGGTCATGGAGTCCCACCATCCCCCAGCACTAAACCCTGTCCCCAAGGGCCACAGCTACCTGTGGCATTTTTTAAATCCCTTCAGGGATGGTGACTCCACCACTGCCCTGGGCAGCTGGGCCAGGGCTGGACAAGCATTCCCAGGAAGAAATTCCTCCTGATGTCCAACCTAAACCTCCCCTGGTGCAGCTTTAGGCCATTTGCTCTTGTTTTATTGCCTGTTACTGGGGAGCAGAGCCCGACCCCCCCCTGCTCCCCCCTCCTGTCAGGGGGTTGCAGAGCCAGAAGATCCCCCCTGAGCCTCCTTTTCTCCAGGCTGAGCCCCCACAGCTCCCTCAGCTGCTCCTGCTGCTCCAGCCCCTTCCCAGCTCTGTTCCCGTCCCTGGAAGGAGCCCCTCAATGTCTTTCTTGTTCTGAGGGACTCAAAACTGAACCCAGGACTGGAGGTGCCCCAGCAGTGCCCTCACCAGTGGGATGGGCACTGCCCTGGTCCTATGCCCACACTATTGCTGGCACAGCCCAGGGGGCGTTGGGCTCTTGCCCACCTGGGCACACCTGGGCTCACATTCACTGGCTCTCACCAACACCCTCAGGGCCTTTTCCAACTTCCCAACCACCCTGCCCCGGCCTGGAATGTTCCACGTTGTTGTTGTGACCCAAGGGCAGGACCTGGCACTTGGCCCTGTTGACCCTCACCCTGCTGGCCTCAGCCATGGATCCAGCCTGTCCAGGTCCCTCTGCAGAGCCCTCCTGCCCTCCAGCACATCCCCATCCCACCCAACCTGGCGTCATCTGCCAACTGACTGAGGGGACACTTATCTCCTCATCCAGGTCACGTCCAGAGGCATCGGATGAATCTTCTCCCGGGAGCTGATGACAAATCGTGTTGTGGGTGGTGGGACAATCACTTGGTTCCTCAGTTCCTTTGCTGGCATTTGAGCTGGTGAACACACCAGAACCAACCACCAGCAGTGGATGAGCCCAGGAAATCCAAGGGGACTCTTTCCTGCCCTTTGCCCTGCAGGTTCCATGTGGTGTTTTGTTTCTGAGGTGAATTAATATTTGGTTTTGTCTCTCCCTTTTTCTTTGTTTCCAGACAAACGACGCTGCAGGAAATACCTGGAATTGGCTTTACTTCATCCCTCTCATCATCATTGGCTCTTTCTTCATGCTCAACTTGGTGCTGGGCGTCTTATCAGGGTAAGAAGGACACCAGTGACTTGTTTGTCCCCACCTGGGTGTGAAAAGGGAAGATGTGTTGGGTTTAGTGGGAAGATGTAACTGGGAGAGCTGGGTGATACATCCCACTGTGCATTATCCCTCTTCCCACTATTCCTACCCTGCTTGCAGTGGGATATTTCTGTAAGACTGTAGAGCCTTAGGATGGGGATGAGCTGGTGAATAATCACTAATTGAGATGATTCTGAATCCAGACCCAAGTGTTAAGTGGACTCCCTGGAATTCCACCGACCTGGGCCTGTGCAGCCAACACTCCTGTGTCACCCTGAACCCCCACCAGGAACCCCCTGTGCCAGAATAATGCTGGAAGTGGACATGGAAGTGTGGATAATGCACTTGGTGTAACTGCAGCACAGGGGAAGGGGAAGCTCAAGCTAAAGGCAGTTAAAAGATCTCAGGTGTTTTTTGGGCATTTGGTATTTTGGTGCTGATGTTTTGTGGGTTTTTTGTTTTGTTAAATCTCTCCCTGTTTAAACCAATGTCTGGATTTTGGGGACCCACTGGTGTCCTGATGTTCAAACCCCAGGGGTCAGCCAAGGTTTTGGTGTTGTTGCATCTGAGTTTTGGGTTTGGACCATTGCAGGAATGGAGCTGCCAAGTCTGCAGCTGAGCTGGAACGTCCCCAGCATGTGGGGAAATTTGATCTGGAATTAACAACCCGGCTCATCTCAGTGGTTTGCAGGCTCTCATTTTGCACAGCATTTCTTCTCAGATCAAGCAGGTGATTGAGACTCTACAGAGGTATAAAGATCTAGATTTTTTTTCTGGCTCTTGGCAGCAGGAGAAGAAAAAAGAATTGCTGCTGCTGTGTGGTAAAAGCCTTTCAGTGCTCCACCTTTGCTCTTCCTTTTTAAAGCTACCAGAGAAGGAAAAGTCTTTTCCAAAGAACATATTAATGCAAAATTGTGTTATTTTGTAATTATTTTCGTCCTCAAAGCTGTGGCAGGAGCAGGGAGGCAGCACTGCAGTTGTGTTGAAGGTCTGTGGGTGTGTCCTCTCTTTGCTGTTGCTACATCCAGGAATAATTGTCCTGATCAATAACTGATCAAAGGCATTCATGGAACATCCTTTTGTTTTGAGGAGGAGAGTTTCTTGTCTGATTTATGATTTAAAGGGAGCACCCACACCAGTTCTTTAGGTACCTCCTCTTCCCTCTGTCACACTGGGGTCAGCCCACGGTGACTGGGATGATCCATGGGATTTAAAACAAAACCAGGAGCCTGCAGGTTCCTGTTCCTTCCTGCTGGATTCAAACATGTTTGGTGTCTGACTCTCCTGAAAGCCTCTTGTTGCTCAGGGCAAAATATGAATATTAGATAAATAGCAATCTTCTCTTAAAAATGCAGCTCTGTGCACCAGCTCTGCCTTTGTTAGTGGTGATGAGGGGAATTTCTTCTTCATGGAGGAAAGCTTTTAATTTCTGCTTTTGGCAGAGTGGTTTGATGGCCTTGCCTGGAATAATTCCTGGGGAGAGGCTGAAGGGCATAAACATCCCAGCTCAGGTGTGAGCACAGGGCTCAGCAGGCTCCTGGTGGGTCTGGAGCTACTGGGCAGGGAAGGAAAGTGGGTACAAAAACCCCTTCCCTTTGAGGTGAGGCCCTGGTGAGGCCCTGGCACAGGTTGCCCAGAGAAGCTGTGGCTGCCCCATCCCTGGAAGTGCCCAAGGCCAGGCTGGATGGGGCTTGGAGCAACCTGGGCTAGTGGGAGGTGTCCCTGCCCATGGCAGGGGGTGGAATGAGATGAGCTTTAAGGTCCCTTCCAACACAAACCATGCTGTGATTCTCTATCTGAATGAAATGGTGATGAAAAGGCACCAGGAAGATGGAAGGACCCTCTGAAGACAGAGACTGTTGTCACTGTGTGACAGGATCCCAGAACGTGCTGAGTTGGAAGGGATCCCCAAGGATCACCCAGTCCAACTCCTCCCTCCTGCATGGGACCATCCCCAAGAGTCACACCCTGTGCCTGAGAAGATCAGCCACTTTGATACTGTAGAGACAGTTCTAGTGCATGATAAATAACACCTTTTGCTTTTTATCTTTCAGTGATCCTCATTTTTAATCTATTTTTTTCTTGTATATTTTCCCTCTCAAACCAATTATCCCCTGTTAATGTGTGTCCTGTGGCTCCATGTTCTGTAGCCAAAAGCTCCAGACAGCCCCATAAAAGATGAATTTCTGCTGGAGGTTTTTCTTTACAGGGGTTTCTGCAGGGAGAAAGGGTCATTGGCATGTTGACTTCCACAGTTTCACTCCAGGCCATGGAACCATCCACATCCCAGTGGAAGTGTCAGCAGCAGAGACTCTTGGCAATGCCCCACGCTCCTGTTGCAATAAACCCAAGTTGATTTGGGGTTAGGGATTCTACAAATAGCCCATGAACAGAGTTAACTTAGCTGCTTCTTATTTTCATGATCTGTGGATCCTGGGGGAATACTCTGCTCTCCTCCTCCACACATTCCAGAGAGGGAACAGCAGGGAGAACCAGGGGATGTGACACCCCCAGGAAACAACTGCAAAGCTGAGGTCAGCTCCCCACTTCCCTAAGCTCCTGTGTGATCTTCATTACTGTCCCCTTGCACTGAACCCCTGCTGGAATCATAAAACACCCTGAACTGGAAGGGACCCAGAGGGACCATTGAGTCCAGCTCCTGTTTTCCATTGTTGTTATTTTTGAGCTGTTTTTCCCTGTATATTTGTTCTTTAATGGGCAAAGAGGAAGCTACAGCTTTCTGTAGTAGATGTGCAGCTGCCATCACAGATTATGGCAATTTAATTAATCCCAGAATCCCAGAACTGTTTGGCTTGGAAGGGACCTTAAAGCTCATCTCCTTCCACCCCCTGCCACAGGCAGGACACCTTTCACTAGCCCAGGTTGCTCCAAGCCCTGTCCAACCTGGCCTAAATCTGAAATGGGGAGAAGTTATCGAGCTTCCTACTAACACTGGGCTGCAGAGAGCTTTGCCATAAATCTGAAAGGAATGTTCTGCCTTTGGTTATTTGTGAGCCCATGTCAACACCCAACAGACACCTGAAATAACTGGGCTGAGCTCCTGGCTTTCTTTGTTTGAGCAGTGGAGGGAGAAGGACCTGGTTGAGATCCCCAGTGTCATCTGCTCACAAAATGTCAAAGAAGAGATGATACTCATTTTGAAATAAAGAGCAAACAACCTCTCCCCTCTGCTGATTCTTCTGGAATTATAGGGCAGGGTGAGAGGAAATGGCCTCAGGTTGTACCTGGGAGGTTTAGATCAGATATTAGGAAAAACGTTTTCATGGAAAAGGTTGGAAAGTCTTGGAACAGGCTGCCCATGGAAGTGGTGGAGTCAGCACCCCTGGGAGGGTGAAAAAAAATCTGTGGATGTGACACTTGAGGCCGTGGTTCAGTGGTGACCATGGGGGTGGTGCTGGTTGACAGTTGAACTCAGTGCTCTTAAAACTCTTTTCCAGCCTTAATGATTCCATGATTCTGTGGTCCTGTAATCAAAGCAAAAGCAGGGAGGTGACAGGGAGATGGGGAAGTGTTGGTGAAAACATATCATAAAAATAACCCCCAGTCTCAGGCTGCAGTTGCTGTGCCAGAACCCTGAGTACCTGGCTAAAGCTGTAATTAAAAACATGTTGAGTCCATAATTCAGCTTCCACGGGACCCTGGTGCTGTACAGCGTGTCCTCCTCGTGTGAGCTCAGCAAACCCTGCCAGTGCTCTTGTTCTTGGTTAATAATTAACACCCTCCCAGAACGGCTCTGCTTTCTGCTCCTCTCCCCTCCCTGGGTAGGGGAATATCCAGCCTGAATATCCAGACTTCCCCATGATCCAAGGAAATGGGGGATTGTTGCAAACACCTCATTTCTGGTGGCACAAGGAGGGTGTTGGGCTGTCCATGTCCTTTCACAAGCTGCAGTGGGTGCTGGGCTGTGCCTGCTCAGCCCAGTGCCAGAGGTGGGCTCTGACTGGGCAAACTGGGAGCAGATCTCCTTTGCCAGGTTGCCCAGCACAAGCAAATACAGGCTGGGCTCTTTTCCTGGAGGAACTGAGGGTTTCCCTGGAGCGCTGCAGTGCTCAGAAGGGCACAAGTGAGGTGCAATTGAGCTCCCAAAATCCAGCAGCTGCCTGGTTGGTTGTTTAGGGGAGATTTGGGGCCTCCCAGCAGGACACAGCATCCCACGTGCTGTGGAGCAGTGGCTTTGTGTCCCTGGAGAGGGATTTTCCTCTCAGTTCCTCCTTTATATTCCCCCTCACTTTCTGTTTTCCTCCTCTGGTGCTTCTTTCCTCCGTGAGCTGATAAAACTCAACAGTCCTGCAGGAACCAATAGAGCAGAAAAATACAGATTATTTTCCTCTGGGAGAGCTTTCACTCAGTGCCAGAGCTGATGTGAGAGCTCAGGGCTGTGCAGGGCCAGGAGAGCAGAGGCAGGAGCAGAGATTTCTCTCCCTTTTGACATTATTAACACTCAGAAGGCTCGTTTGCTTCTCGTTGTGAACCATCCATGTGCTGGGAAGCATGTTGGAGTGACTGCCTGAGCCTGACACCTCCCCAGCCCCAGACACACAAAGGAAAAAAGGAAAAGAGAAACGATAAAAAAAAAATAATTACAAATTAGGTGAAATTAGGAGATTAGACACTTGGCTGAAGCTCTACCAAACCATCCACCCACCCACCCCAAAGGATGAACCAGGTCTTGGCCCCACTAAAAAGTTGCCCTTAACTTTATTTCTATGTTTTAACCATGACAATCCATGCTATCCCTGTTCCAGAAAGCTGGGGCACTCCCAGAAACTGAGGTTACATTTTGTCAGGTGCCCAGTTCAGCAGCAGTGAAAATCTTCAGGGGTTTGTATCCATAATACATTTTTCTTGAAACATCTTTTCGTGTTTATTCTTACCACATCATTTGTGACCCAGGCAGCAATAAAGGGAATAGAGCAATCACAGGGAATGCAGCCTTTCCATGGGAAAAG